CAAGCATTACTGAATAATCAGATGAGGGACAGTTTGCTATGTCTACTAGGTAGCTAGAGTCTGTAAAAAGGTATTTTTAATGAAGTCATTGGTCTTGTAAAATTCTATCATGCGATCTCTAGCATTGCTTCTATCAACAAAGCCATATTTTCCAACTCTGAATCCCCTCTGTTTGTTTCTAACCTTTGCAACCATTCCAATCCCCAGCAATTATCAATGTATTTTGACTTCACATTTGATCAATCTTAGACTGAAGAAGTTGGTAGAATTCTTCAGTTTCATCATCATTGGCTTTAGTTTTAGTGGTTGGTGAGTACATTTGAACAACAGTGGTATTAAGTGGTCTCCCTTGTAGACGTATGGATATATCACAAAGAGCAGTGAACTTCAAGATAGATGTTCTTGAAATGTTCTTTCCAACGAAGAACACGATGTCATTCCTCTTCAGTTTGTCGTTCCTGGTCCAGTAAATCATAGATGGTCCAGTTCAAAATGACCAATGCCAGTCCACTGCAGCTCACTAACACCCAGGAGTTCAATGTTTGCATTCCATTGCAGTTTTGATAACTTCCAATTTTCCTAGAGTCATACCTCGTACACTCCAGCTGCCACTTATTAATGGATATTTGCAGCTGTCTATCTGTATTTTGAGTTGTGTTCCATCAGCAAATGGAGGTCCTGAAAGCTTTAGCCCATTTACGTCATCACAGTCAATTCTACTTTGAGGAGGCAGATCCTTCCCAGTTTATTTTGTATGCCTTCCAACCCGAGGGACTCAGCTTTCTGCACCATATCTGATAATGTTTGACTGTTATCCAGAAGGTCTTCAGTGGTTAAACATTCTCCTTCTTCCTAGCCCATCTTAAACCTGTCCACCAGGGGTTGGCCTCTCAAATACCAGAAGCAGATCTTCCCGCATTACAGCAATGCACCAGTCCCCACAGTATGACAAAGTGACAGAGGAGGGGGGACGCTGAGACACAGGGTATCTCTCTCCTAGAGGACTTGTCCGAGAGAGCTGCCCCCAGGCATGAGAGCCTCCGGACGCACCACAGGACACAGGAAGCCTCACACCCCCCTTGGTGAGCTGTCACTAGTGCCATCTTCCACCTTGTGCACTCAGAGAAGATCACTACAGAAAGGTCCAGAACTACTGCTTGATACAAGTATTTTTTATGAGATTTAAACTTTTTACAAATGCATATTTACTTGTTTAGGAGCTCTGGTGTAGCATAGTGGTTACGAACTGGGCTGCTAACCTCAAGGTTGGCAGTTCAAAACTCCCAGCTGTTCCGCAGGAGAAAGATGAGGCTTTCTGCTCCCATAAAGATCTGCAGCCTCGGGAACCCTGTACAGGGTCGCTATGAGTCGGAACTGACTCCACGGTACTTAACAACAATTTACTTATTTAATAACCAAAACTAAGAATCCTGTCAACCACATCCCTTGGACCTGTGCTTTAGAAGATGGTAAGAGTTTGGGATTTTCTTAATATACTAAGAATTTCAGACCACAGAGCTGAGGCTTCCTTGAGAGTCCCACTGGCTCAGGAACTCCTTGTCACAGTCAGTAACTTGGATGTGAACTGCCCAGCGGGTCAGGAGGGAAGACTGGGGACCTAACAAGGGCACCCACACATTCCTTCCCACCTGGTGTCGTCTGTCTGGCACACCTTGGATTGGGGGCGCGGGGCGGAGAGGACTTACGAGAAGTTCAGCATGGGCTGGCCCACATGTGAGATGTGCACCTCCTCTAGGTACTGGAAAGGTTGCAGCGTCGGGAAGGTACCAGCTCCAGGCGGGTCCGACAGCCAGGTGCCCAGCATCCAGGACAGCGGTTCGAGCACTGGGTTCATCGTGGGGGGCTCTGGGGGCAAAGGACGAGACCGTCATGGCTGGTGCTGGCTGGCCTCCTCCGCAGCCACCTATGGCCAAACTCAGGAGCTTCACGGGCCCAGAGGGGGCTGGGGAGAGGCGCCACAGCTTGGCGCCCACAGACTTCCTGCACCCGTCCCCACCACAAACACGTCCAAGCTTGGTGACCGGAAACCACAGACGCTGCGGTGGAGCTTTAACAGAGCCCTGGCGCTCAGGGCGGGGGCTCCCAGGTCAATGGGGGCCCAGGTGGGTGGGGTGTGCTGTGGGGATGGGGTGCACCCTGGGTGATGGGGTCACAGGCACACCAGAGGTCAAGGGCTGACAGGGGCAATGGGGGGGGGTCACCATGGTGGGCTGCACTGGGGGCGAGGCAGAGCCCGCGGAGGGACCTGGGGAGGCAGCTTGAGAAGACATTAGGAAGGGGTGCACACCCCGGCCTCCAGGGCTACAAACCACTGACCATCGCCAGGGGCGTGCGTGTCCAAGCCCTCAGCGACAGACCACGGCTGCCCCCTGGGGGTGACTAGTGCCACTGCAGGACTGGAACCCGGGCGGCTCTCTCCAGAAGAGCAGGGCTATAAGCCTGGGCCAGCTGACGGGTTTCTCCTGGGGGTATTCTGTGCATACCCTAAAACGCACAGACGTGTACAGTCTCGATGGCTAGATGGGTATGAATCACATCTCAACAAACAAACAAACACAGAACACTGTAACAGAAGATACAAAATGGAAACTTAACATGGGAGTGGAAAATCAAACCATAAAAAGGAATGAAGAGGAAGAGCTTTGAAAACAGACTGGAATCTACACATGAAACAGCACACTGTGGAGGACGGTCAGCTAGTGGAGGCAGGTCCAAGTCAGGACGATTCTAGGAAAATTCCCCAACTGTGCAGACACAACCAGAATGGACCCTCTAGCGCCCAACACTCACAGGAAGAGATCCAGGCAGTGATGTGGACGGGCACAGTGTGGATGGGCACAGTGTGGCAAAAGAGTCTGAAACCACACACACAGCCAGGACTCCATCTCCAGCCACAGTGCTCGATGAGGCGCACAGGTGTAGACCAGGACATGGTGACATGCACAGGTGTAGACCCACGCACTGTGACACACACACACATATACACACAGGTGTAGACCAGGACACTGTAACATACACAGGTATAGACCCGCACAGGTGTAGACCGGAACACACACACACAGATGTAGAACCACGTACTGTGACATACACACACACACACACGGGTGTAGACTGGGACACTCAGCATGGTCATAGTGCCCATGAACGCACGGGACCAGAACAGCCAGCCCTGTTGGCAGTAGCCAGAGCACATCAAACACACACACACAGTCAAGTGTCTCCGTCCTTCTCAGCACTGCCCACACACTGGCCTGACAACACTCCAGCAGAGAGGGACTGGACGCTGTCCCATTAAGGCGTCTTTCCCCGGCCTCCCCTCTCTTGGGTGGGAAACTGCACAGGAGACAGCCGACACTAGATGTGGGAATTCTCCACACAGAGCCCAGAGGACACGGCGGCACCGGAGATGGGAGCGCAACACTGACACGGGGCCACAGGCTGGACTGTCTAGTGTGCACAGTCCCGAGGCTGCCCTGTCCCCAAACAGCCCACTCATGGGAAGTCTTGATTTTACAACTGGAAAGTTCCTGAAGGAGCTGTATGAAGGCTGTGTGTGCTGGCCAGGCTGAGGTCAACAGCCACTGAGCCCGGGACAGGCAGATGGACAGGGGGCCTGAGGCTGAGATGGGTGAGAGAGGACTGTGCACAGAAGCCTGCTCCTGGAAAAGCTTAGGAAACCCCACAGGCTGGCTCTGCTTGTCCCATGGGAGAGCTGGAACACGCAGCCCTTACGGAACGGCCACCTAGTTCCATGGGCCCATCAGTCAGGGTGCCTTTATCCACAGGACGGGGACCCAGCATCAGGGATAGCCCCCCCGCCTTGCTCACAGGTTAGAGGGTACTGATCCCGAGCAGTGTTAGCAAAACAGGAGACAGGGCAGAGGCGCCCACGAGACCCGGCGGCCATCTACAGGAGACAAAGGGCCAAGGAACCTCAGAGAAGGGTGCAGATTTGGGCTTCTGATGGAGTTGGAGGGAGGAGCAGGCAGAGGGCGCAGAGGCAGAGGAAGGCTCGCTGGGGCTGAGAGCAGTGGTTCCGAAAGGCAGGGCCAGTGCGGGCATGCAGGAAGTACACGGTAGATGTCACCCTGCTCCTGGGATCCCCTGAGAGAGGAGTGTGTGGGACAGAGTCCCAGACCTGGAGGCTGGGGAGTGAGATTACATCAGGTGTGACAACGGGCAGGTGGAATATGGTGTCCCACCATGCCACTGGTGGCGAAGAACACAGTCCAGAAGGAGACAGGTGGAATGCAGGGTCAAGTAGGCTGAGGACAGGTTCACCAGAAGGGACAAGCTCAGCAGGGCAGACTATTCCTGAGCGGATGTGTGCGTGTGTGAGTGTGTGTGTGTGTGTGTGTGTGCGGGGGGACTACCAAGCTCCCAGGCAAGGCACTGGCACCAAGAGCATACCCCTCCTCCTTGTGTGTGAGCCACACGGAACCTCGGGACAGAACAGGAGATGCCCTGAAAGGAGCCAGCTGCACACAGGAGGTCTGCCCACATAATTAATTTCCCCTAAGAAACTGAGACAATTCTAAAGCACCGTTCTTTGTAAAGAGAAAGAAAGACTGTGACCCTAACGACAACGTTGGGGTGATGGCACAGAGAGCCATCCTGAGTGTGGGGTGGACACTCGGCCTCGGCGCTGACGTTCTCCCAGCTGCAGCTGCTGCGCCATTGGCTGTCAATCTTGAGGAATTTCAATCAGGAAATTGGCCAGGCAGTAAACAAAAGTTGGCTAAGCGGATTTGCCCCGGCTTCCTCCCTGATCCTCAAAGGCCATGGGCCACCCCTACTCTACGGCACCCCCTGGCTTCCCATCCACATAGCTGACCTCGAGATGGGTGAGGTGCTGGCCCCGCCACACACACTTTCATGGACACACTGGAAGGTGTGGACGGGGAACTACTAGAGAAAGTTTCAAAACACAAACACCAGGTCACATGAGTTCATGTGTCTCAAATCTCATCAAGGGTCCTTGAAGATCTGTGTATTTCACATTATGTAAATTGAACTCCAATACAAAAATGAAGGAAAAACCAAGGCAGACAAGGGGTCTAAGGCACTTGCACTTTCGACCTCTTCAAATAAGTCAGGCTTCTCTATGCAGCTTTTCATGGTTTCATTTTTCTTTTATTAAAACTCAACCAAGTGCAAAATCAGCAACAGACATTTAAACTTTCTACAAGAAATGTAAATTCTCGTTTTCTTGGACCTAGACAGCGAAAGCAGGCTTACCCATCCCTAAGTTTCCTAAACTCCCGGACACAGCGCCAGCCAAGGTTCTTCAAGGTTGTTTTCTGTTGGACGGAAATGTTTGCACCTGGCTGCTGAACCGCCCTGCAGGAAGTGAGTGGGAGCTGGCAGTGGCATTCTGGGAGTTGTAGTTCTCTATCAAAGACCATTGCTCAGGCAAGGGGAAGACCACAGAGCCTGGGAGAGAGGCTGTCTCAGTGTCTCTGAGCAAACCTGGGACCCACGTGGGGCAGACAAGTGCAGGGCCCAGCAGGCAAAGCAGACACGCACGGTGACCAGGGGCTCCTTAGGTATTTCCCCATCACCATCACGGGCCCGCCCACATGAATGTGCCAACTACACGCCGGGCTGGATGGGAAGCATGTCGGCTGCCCTAGCCCCTGGCCTGCAGTCCTGCGTGGAAAGCTGGTCTTGGAAGGTCAGAGCAAGGCTAGCACAAAATACAAATGGGGATGAGATGAAGAGAAAACAGAGGCAAACGCTTCAGAAAGGATCTCACCAGGAGTTAGGTGCCATCAAGTCAGTACTGACTCATAGCGATCCTACGCACAACAGAAGGAAACACTGCCCAGTCCTGGGCCAGCCTCACAATCGCTGCTACACCTAAGCCCGTCGCTGCCCCCACTGTGCCAACCCATCTCACCGGAAGCCTTCCTCTTTTTCTCTGACCCTCCACCTTACCAAACATGATATCCTTCTCCAGTGACTGATCCCTCCTGACAATATGTCCGAAGTATGAAAGTTCAATGAAGTCTGGCCTTTCGGGCTTCCAAGGAGCACTCTGGCTGTACTTCTTCCAACACAGATTTGTTTGTTCTTCTGGCATTACAAGGTACTTCTAATATTCTCCTCCAACACCATAATTCAAATGCATCAATTCTTCCTTATTCAACGTCCAACTTTCACATGCAAATGAGGTTACTGAAAATACCAGGGCTTGTGCCAGGCACATCTTAGGCCTCAAACTGACATCTTTACACCGTGGGTGACCCTTCTGACATTCAAACTACCCATGACACAACTTCCAGAATCACAGCAACACACAAACCACCACAGGACAACAAACCGACAGACGAGTGGTGGATCTCACCAGATAATGCTGTATTGCAATTCTCAGAGGTTCCCAGTGAAAAACAGGAAGCTCAGAGATTTGCTTGTTTCTACTGCATTTAACAAGTGAACCCCCAGTACCTCTGAGGTCTGCCTGCACAGTACAGAGAACACATGGACCCCAGGATCTCCAAGGTCGGCCTGTAGAGTACACCTATGTGAACCCCAGTATCTCTCAGTCCTGCCTGGAGGATACAGGCATGTGGACCCCCAGGATCTCCGAGGTCTACCTGTGGAGTACAGGGACTCCTTGCAGCCTGTGACCCAGGACTTCTCCTCCAAGAAAACCTCGGCATCTCCATAAAGACAGAGCAGAAACAGGAGACAAGACGAGAAGGGGCGAGAGAGTTCTCAGACATTACAACCAACGTGTAACAGGTATTAATGAAACTCAAAATCCCTTCGTGGCCTAAAAGCCTTCACTCCATCAAGAATACAAGAACATGCCCCTAGCTTAATAGGACACGGTTAGGTCAAGA